CGTGTGGTGTCACCGGTGACCCGGAGCCGCCGCGTTTCCCGACGTCCCGCTATAACTGGATGGTAATATATTCACATGTGACTGTATATCATGAGATATAACTGTGTGCCGGAGATAAAAGACGTCACAGTGACTATGGAGGACGGACATGACGGGGGGGGGAGGGGTTACTGGGTGTAAATATAACATAATATCTTCTTACCTCCTCTGCTGCCAGTTCCAACAATGTCTCCTCTCTACTTCCTCCCAACTTGCCCCTCAGCCGGAACTTCCTGTTTATACGTGACATCACTTCCTGTTTCAGTTCCTTTCTCTACTTCAGTAACCTGAGATCACCATCTCGTGGACCGTAAATAACAATTGCGCTCCTTACCGTGCCCCTTAGCCGAATCTGTAGGAAGAAGTTATGACGTGTTCAAAGTTTTGGTACTTTTTTCGGAAAGATTTGTTCCTCTCGGGAAAAGTTCAGTGTTAGAAAAGTTTGAAATTGCGGAAAAATTTGGTAAAATGTTGGAAATTTTGTATGACTCGGAGTTCGTTGACCAGTTCATCTCTCCCCTCCCCCCCCCCGAGCGTGGTCCCTCAGCTTCAGGTTGAGTGTCTACTCTTCCATGTTGAAGGAAGGGTTTAGGAATTACAGCCGTTAGATATGTAGCCCCCTCTTTTTCGAGGGACCAAAAGGAATTTGGACAATTTGACTCAGAAGCTGTTTGGTGGACAGGTGTGAGCTCTTCCTTCATCATTTCATCATCAACGAAGCAGGTAGAAGGTTCTGGAGTGGATTCCAGGTGTGGCATTTGCATTTGGAAGCCGACGCTGTGAACCCACAACATGCGTTCAGAGGAGCTCTCAATGGGCCGTCCATCACAGAGATAGCAGGAACATTGGGAGTGGCCAAATCACGAGTTTGGTCCAAAAGAACGCACTGGGGAGCTCTTCAACACCAAAAAAAAGGCCTGGACGTCCACGGAAAACAACAGTGGTGGATGATAGTAGGATGCTTTCCATGGTAAAGAAAAAAACCTTCAAAACGCTCTCTAGGAGGTCGGCATATCACTATCCGAGTCTACCATAAAGAGAAGACTTCACCAGAGCAAGTACAGAGGGTCCACCACAAGGTGCACACCCTTCAGAAGCCTCAAGCTTTCCCCAACCTGTCCCAGAAACTATTTGTTTTTCTCAGACAGGTCCACCACAAGGTGAAGCCTCAATCTTACCTCAACCTGTCCCAGAATGATGGGAAGAAAAAACTCTGGAGAAGGCTTGGCTGGCCAGAAAAAACAACAATGGTGGGCCTTCGTAGGATCCTTTCCATGGTAAAGAAAAAACCCTTCACATCATCCAGCCAAGTGAAGAAGACTCTCCAGGAGGTTGACATATCATTATCCAAGTCTACTATAAAGAGAAGACTTCACCAGAGCGTAAAAGATATGTTCTTCTCAGACAGGTCCACCCCAGAGGGTCCACCACAAGGTGCAAACCCCTTTGGAAGCCTCAAGCTTACCTCAACCTGTCCCAGAATGATGGGAAGAACAAAGGTTTGGCTGACCAGGAAAAACACCAATGGTGGATCTTCGTAGGATCCTTTCCATGGTAAAGAAAAAACCCTTCACAGCATCAAGTGAAGAAGACTCTCCAGGAGGTCGGCATATAATTATCCAAGTCTACCATAAAGAGAAGACTTCACCAGTAGTAGGAACATACGGAGTGGCAAAATCAACAGTTTGGACCAACAATTTGGTCCAAAAGAACGTGGTGGTGAGCTCTTCAACCCAAAATAGACCTAGACATCCACCGAAAACAGAGGTGGATGATCGTAGGATCCTTTCCATGGTAAAGCCCTTCAAAACGTGAAGAACACTCTCCAGGAGGTCGGCATATCATTATCCAAGTCTACCATAAAGAGAAGACTTCACCAGAGCGTAAAAGATTTGTTCTTCTCAGACAGGTCCACTCCAGAGGGTCCACCACAAGGTGCAAACCCTTCAGGAGCCTCCAAGCTTACCTCAACCTGTCCCAGAATGATGGGAAGAAAAAAGTATGGAGAAGGCTTGGCTGGCCAGAAAAAACAACAATGGTGGATCTTCGTAGGATCCTTTCCATGGTAAAGAAAAACCCTTCACATCATCCAGCCAAGTGAAGAAGACTCTCCAGGATGTTGGGATATCATTATCCAAGTCTACCATAAAGAGAAAACTTCACCAGTAGAGGGAACATTCGGAGTGGCCAAATCAACAGTTTGGTCCGGAAGGACGCAGTGGTGAGCTCTTCAACCCAAAAAAGACCTAGACGTCCAACAAAAACAACAGAGGTGGATGATCGTAGGATCCTTTCCATGGTATAGCCCTTCAAAACGTGAAGAACGCTCTCAAGGAGGTCGGCATATCATTATCCAAGTTTACCATAAAAAGACTTCGCCAGAGCGTAAAAGATTTGTTCTTCTCAGACAGGTCCACCACAGAGGGTCCAACACAAGGTGCAAACCCTTCAGAAGCCTCAAGCTTACCTCAACCTGTCCCACAATGATGGGAAGAACAAACTCTGGAGAAGGCTTGGATGATCATTTAAAACACTAATGGTGGATCTTCGTAGGATACCTTTCCATGGTAAAGAAAAAACCCTTCAGATCATCCAGCCAAGTGAAGAAGACTCTCCAGGAGGTCGGCATATCAGTATCCAAGCCTACCATAAAGAGAAGACTTCACCAGAGCGTAAAAGATATGTTCTTCTCAGACAGGTCCACCACAAGGTGAAGCCTCAATCTTGCCTCAACCTGTCCCAGAATGATGGGAAGAACAAAGTATGGAGAAGGCTTGGATAGCCGGGGATGAAGCTGATTGACTCAGAAGCTGTTTCGTGGGCAGGTGTGGGTCCACCACAAGGTGCAACCCCTTCGGAAGCCTCAAGCTTACCTCAACCTGTCCCAGAATGATGGCAAGAACAAAGTATGGAGAAGACTTGGCTGACCAGAAAAAACACCAATGGTGGACCTTCGTAGGATCCTTTAGATTTACGTACACAGCAGCATCCCGGCCATCCAAGCCTTCCCCATACTTTGTTCTTCCCATCATTCTGGGACAGGTTGAGGTAAGATTGAGGCTTCACCTTGTGGTGGACCTGTCTGAGAAGAACAAATCTTTTACGGTCTGGTGAAGTCTTCTCTTTATGGTAGACTCGGATAATGATATGCCGACCTCCTGGAGAGTCTTCTTCACTTGGCTGGATGATGTGAAGGGTTTTTTCTTTACCATGGAAAGGATCCTACGAAGGTCCACCATTAGTGTTTTAAATGGTCATCCAAGCCTTCTCCATACTTTGTTCTTCCCATCATTTTGGGACAGGTTGAGGTAAGCTTGAGGCTTCACCTTGTGGTGGACCCTCCGTACTTGCTCCGGTGAAGTCTTCTCTTTATGGTAGACTCGGATAGTGATACGCCGACCTCCCGGAGAGCGTTCTTCACGTTTTGAAGGGCTATACCATGGAAAGGATCCTACGATCACCCACCGCTGTTGTGTTGGGTGGACGTCTAGGTCTTTTTTTGGGTTGAAGAGCTCCCCACTGCGTCCTTATGGACCAAACTGTAGATTTAGCCACTCCGAATGTTCCTACTACTAGTGAAGTCTTCTCTGTATGGTAGACTCGGATGATGATCTGCCGACCTCCTGGAGAGTCTTCTTCACTTGGCTGGATGATGTGAAAGGTTTTTTTTGTCTTTACCACGGAGATTGCGCCATACATGTTGGGTATCGCCGCGCACGGCGGAGCCGGGGGGGCGACAATTCCGGGGGACGTTCTCTACGGTTTCCTCTAAACCGATGACCCGTAGAAACGTTCACAGCTGCAAGCCAGTTATGTTTGGTATCAATGTAATCGGTGTTCCCTCGTCACCCGGAATTGGGGCGTACTTACTTTCTCAATTAACACGCCTCTTTTTTTTCGGGAATAAAATGCAAAAATTATTTTTATTTTCTATCCATTTTACAGGTAAAAGCAAGAAAAATATCACTTTATGACGATTTATAATCTATAATACATATGGACCATCCCTCTGGAATTAGGACCTCCCCCCCGCTGACCCCTCCCCTTTCCGCCGCTGACCTATAAAAGAACATTGGGAGGCTATTTATAAAAAATTATTCCTGCGAAACCGCAGCTACATTCGTCATGTGAGAGTCCGCCGGGAACGGGATGAATCGAATGTTCTTCAGATATTTATAGGTCGCAGTTCATGTAGAAGATACGGCACCATGGCCACTAGATGGAGCCGAGGACCATGGGAGAGGAGAGAGAGTCTGCAGAGACACGGTCACACAGGGGAGGAGGGAGAGTCTGCAGAGACACGGTCACACGGGGGAGGAGGGAGAGTCTGCAGAGACGCAGTCACACAGGGGAGGAGGGAGAGTCTGCAGAGACGCAGTCACACAGGGGAGGAGGGAGAGTCTGCAGAGACAAAGTCACACAGGGGAGGAGGGAGAGTCTGCAGGGACGCAGTCACACAGGGGAGGAGGGAGAGTCTGCAGGGACGCAGTCACACAGGGGAGGAGGGAGAGTCTGCAGAGACAAAGTCACACAGGGAAGGAGGGAGAGTCTGCAGAGACGCAGTCACACAGGGGAGGAGGGAGAGTCTGCAGAGATGCATTCACACAGGGGAGGAGGGAGAGTCTGCAGGGACGCAGTCACACAGGGGAGGAGGGAGAGTCTGCAGAGACGCAGTCACACAGGGGAGGAGGGAGAGTCTGCAGAGACAAAGTCACACAGGGGAGGAGGGAGAGTCTGCAGAGACGCAGTCACACAGGGGAGGAGGGAGAGTCTGCAGAGACAAAGTCACACAGGGAAGGGACATTTTCTCCTGTTAAAGTTTTCCCTTTTCATCAAAACTTTTCCCGCACGTTCCTCTGTGCGTCTGTGATGACTGGAGCATTTCCCACACAATGGACGTGAAAAAGGATCCTTACGCCTGAGTTGTTTTGACTGTAGCGTTCCCCATACCCCAAACTTGATCACGGCTCTCCAAAGTGATTCCTCATGTGCCTGTAGAGGCTGTCTCTGCGAGTGAAAAATTTGCCGCAATCTGAGCAGGAGAAAGGGCGCTCGCCCGTGTGACTTTTCTGGTGCTTAAGGAGATATTTTTTCAGACGGAAAGATTTCCCGCACTCTGAACACGAATACAGAAGCTTGTCTGTGTGGGTCCTCTGATGCCTTAGGAGGTCTCCTTTCAGAGTGAAACTTTTCCCGCAATCTGAGCAGGAGTACGGCCGCACTCCGCTGTGGAATTTCTTGTGCCTTATAAGACTCTCCTTCCAGGTGAAACTCTTCCCGCAATCTGAACACGAGAAAGCTCGCTCGCCTGTGTGAATACTTTGATGATTTAAAAGGTATCTTTTCTCATTGAAACCTTTCCCACACTCGGAGCATTTAAAGGGGAGCTCGCCCCTGTGAGTTCTCTGGTGGGTAAGGAGTTGTTTTTTTCTACCGTAACATTTTCCGCACTCTGAACAGGAGAACGGCTTGTCTTCAGGTTCAGCTTTGATCTGGCTATCCGGCGAGGAACCTTTCCCTTGTTCTGAGGGCTCCTCGGTAGAGTGAACCTCTTCACATTTGACAAAGTCCATCATCTTCAAGGAGAATCCCTCACTCTTGGCGCATGACAAGGTCACCCCATCCGTGTCATCGCTTCCATGTTCTTGGAGATTGGGTTTTGTTTTTAAGGACTCCGATGTTGCTGGCTGCTCTCCCGCGTGGGCATGTTGGTGGATGATGAGCATCCCTCGGAGCGGAAACTCCTTCTCGCATGTCCTACACGTATACACTTTTTTGCCCATGTGCGTTCGCTGGTGTTTGATCAGCGTATCCTTCCAGGAGAAACATTTCCCGCACTCGGTACACGAAAAAGGTTTCTCGCCCGTGTGAATCCTGAGATGTCTCCTCAGGTGACCGCTCTGCATGAAAGACTGACCGCACTCCGTGCACACGAAGGGCCTTTCACCCGTGTGATACCGCAAGTGGCTGACAAGGTCGGCTTTGCCTATGAAAGACTTGGCACACTCCGGGCAGGAATAGGGGCGCACACCTGTGTGTTGACTCACATGTCTAGTGAGATGCGATTTGCATATGAAACGTTTTCCGCACTCTGTGCAGAGGTAGGGCCGCACTCCACTGTGAATTTTCTTGTGAAAGACCAGATGGGATTTTGTGTCGAAACATTTCCCGCACTCGGAACATGAATATGGCCGATCAGCGGTCTTTGCCTTTTGGTGCCCGGTAAGATTTGGCGACGAGGTTAAGCTTTTTTTATCATTGGAGTTTGGATTGATCTCCTCGCCCCCGTGTGGAGGAATATCTGAGTTAGCATAAGACGGTTCCTTGGGATGAAAGGGATCTGGTGTCTTCCCTCCATGGTGAGTCCTTTGAAGGATATTCAGGGTTATGGCGTGTAACTTTTTAAAAGGGTTCTCGGAATTTAAGGCGTCTGCTGATCTGTCCGAATACATATGTGGGGAGGAGGAGGAATGAAACCGATCAGTCGGAGGACCTGCCGATCTATCTGCAGAGCAGAGTCTCCGAGGAACATTTTCCACACTGTAATTTACTTCCGGAGAACTTCCATTGATCCCTCTACTGACTGTGTGATAATCCGGAGTGGAGGTCGGATATTTTTCTGAGGGATTCAAGACGTAGTATTCACCTGCCGAAAGAGAGATTTATTCATGATTAACCTTCTACAGGACGGACATGGACCTCTCATGTGGTGTACAGTATCTCCTCCTCATTTGTTGGTCACATGACGTTATATTGAGGAATGGAGATGGACCTTCATATGGCGAACAGTATCTCCTCCCCATTTGTTGGTCACATGACGTTATATTGAGGAATGGAGATGGACCTTCATATGGCGAACAGTATCTCCTCCCCATTTGTTGGTCACATGACGTTATATTGAGGAATGGAGATGGACCTTCATATGGCGAACAGTATCTCCTCCCCATTTGTTGGTCACATGACGTTATATTGAGGAATGGAGATGGACCTTCATATGGCGAACAGTATCTCCTCCCCATTTGTTGGTCACATGACGTTATATTGAGGAATGGAGATGGACCTTCATATGGCGAACAGTATCTCCTCCCCATTTGTTGGTCACATGACGTTATATTGAGGAATGGAGATGGACCTTCATATGGCGAACAGTATCTCCTCCCCATTTGTTGGTCACATGACGTTATATTGAGGAATGGAGATGGACCTTCATATGGCGAACAGTATCTCCTCCCCATTTGTTGGTCACATGACGTTATATTGAGGAATGGAGATGGACCTTCATATGGCGAACAGTATCTCCTCCCCATTTGTTGGTCACATGACGTTATATTGAGGAATGGAGATGGACCTTCATATGGCGAACAGTATCTCCTCCCCATTTGTTGGTCACATGACGTTATATTGAGGAATGGAGATGGACCTTCATATGGCGAACAGTATCTCCTCCCCATTTGTTGGTCACATGACGTTATATTGAGGAATGGAGATGGACCTTCATATGGCGAACAGTATCTCCTCCCCATTTGTTGGTCACATGACGTTATATTGAGGAATGGAGATGGACCTTCATATGGCGAACAGTATCTCCTCCCCATTTGTTGGTCACATGACGTTATATTGAGGAATGGAGATGGACCTTCATATGGCGAACAGTATCTCCTCCCCATTTGTTGGTCACATGACGTTATATTGAGGAATGGAGATGGACCTTTCAACTTCAGATGCTTCAGCTATAGAATGTATACATGTGTTGGGCTCGTTAGGTGACGGTGAAGCTTATGGATGATGTTCTTATTGACAGCAATGGGGATTTCTAAATCGTACTATAACTGAGGAATGTACTTTCGTTTCATAGTCCAATTTCCTCTTACCCGGTGATATGAGGATCTCCTGATTCTCCGTCTTGACGTCCTTGTAGAGATCCCGGTGTCCTTCTAGATACTCCCACTCCTCCATGGAGAGATAGACAGAGACATCCTGACACCTTATAGGAACCTGACACACATAATGATACCGTCACCACCCAGACACGCCCCTTGTCTGTTCCTGGATCATGTCCCAGAATCCCCGGCACCGCTCACCTCTCCCGTCACCACCCAGACACGCCCCTTGTCTGTTCCCGGATCATGTCCCAGAATCCCCGGCACCTCTCCCGTCACCACCCAGACACGCCCCTTGTCTGTTCCTGGATCATGTCCCAGAATTCCCGGCACCGCTCACCTCTCCCGTCAGCAGCTCCATCATCTTCTTGGTGACTTCTACAATCTTCTCCATGTGGTTTCTCTCGGGTGTCGAGGGGTGAGGCGGACGCATGGTGATAGTCACCTGGTCACCAAACTTCACAGGAGAAAATTTCTGTATTAAAAAAAAAGAAATTTAAGGACAACGGATACTCCCAGAATCCTCCTCACCTCCCCGGTCAGGTCATGTGACCTCCCAGAATCCTCCTCACCTCTCCGGTCAGCAGGTAGATGATCTCCAGGGTGAGGTTTATGATGCTTTCGGTCACGTGGCTCCGGTCCTCCTCCATCGTCATGGACATGGTCATGTGATCTATAACGGGTTCTCCTCTCTGTAGACGGATAATAAGTGAAGAATTAGGATGAATTATAGTCCTCAAGTGTCCTCAGTTCCGGACGTTTGTGGGTTCTTTGTGTGGAGATCGGTGAATGGGTTACTCCATGACACACGTGTGTCTATCGGCAAGTGCCGGAGATGAAAGATCTCACAGTGACTATGGGGGACCAAAGTATACCTAGTGGGGGGAGGAGGTTACCGGGTGTACAGCTAAAATAATATCTGATTACCTCCTCTGCTGCCAGTTCCAGCAATGTCTCCTCTCTACTGCCACCCAACTCACCTCTCACCGAGAACTTCCTGTTTATACCTCTACATCACTTCCTGTCTGTTACCTCACTTCCTGTCTCTCTGCGTTCCATGGAAATCCAGAGATTGCCATCTGGTGGCGATTATCCTAGCTACCGACGTCTGACCTCTGATGTAGGACAGTTGGTTATTTTTGGGTGAAGCTGAGGCTGGTCCTCCTGGTTGAGATATGCAGTTTGGTTGCTAAAGAGATAAAAGTTCCTGTCCTTATATATTGCCAGAGAATGTGAACGCCAAGGAACAACTAAGCTTGACCTCAGGTGGTCACGTCCTGTCACGGCTTCCATTTTTTCAGAACATTGACTCTAATAACCCCGGTAGACCAACCTGGTACCAACATGGTAGCCTTCAACCAACCTGGTAACCTTCAAGTGGCCTTCAACCAACCTGGTAATCTTCAAGTGGCCTTCAACCAACCTGGTAATCTTCAAGTGGCCTTCAACCAACCTGGTAATCTTCAAGTGGCCTTCAACCAACCTGGTAACCTTCAAGTGGCCAATACGGTCAGCAGTGAACGTGGAAAATGACCACTCAGCTCTGACTTCTCCATCAAGGTCAATAGCACTCTCCGTCCCTTCCATCATGTCGGGGGTGATGGAGGTAATCCTGGACTCTGACCTCTCCTTCTGGCCCAATCCAATCATGGACCAAATCCAAACCTTCCATCCTGTATAATAATGATTAATTGGTATTTGGAGGACTAGTGAGGGCCTCATATCACAGCAGAACCTGAGATTCCTCCAACCATCTGCTGGTTTTATTCCAGACCTCCATTGTTGGTGGCCTCTGAAGCCTCATTTGTCTGTTAGAAGAAAAGAGAGGACCCCGGTGGGGTTGGTGGGGTCTTCTGTAGTCCTTCCACATTAGGGTTCTCCATGTTGGGTGTTCAGAGATGATTGGAGCCACTGTGGACTGTCAACTGGAATCAGTCCAACAACGCTCCTCCATCTTTTCCTAAGTCCCCGTACCCCAAACTTCACCCCAGCTAGCGGTGCTCCCACAAAATGGCGTCCAGAATCCTGACTTCATGCATTAGGAAGGGTCCACAGGTGATTGTGAATTACCACACAGCAGGCGGACATCCTGATGGAGAACACAGTCCCTGGGGTGTTGCTTGAAACATGTATACAGTAGAGCGAGAGGCTGAGGACAAGCAGGGGAGGGGTGATAGTCTGCAGAGACACAGGAGAGGAAGGGAGAGTCTGTCGAGACAGGAGAGGAGGGATAGTCTGCAGAGACAGGAGAGGAGGGATAGTCTGCAGCGACAGGAGAGGAGGGATAGTCTGCAGAGACACAGGAGAGGAGGGATAGTCTGCAGAGACAAAGGAGAGGAGGGATAGTCTGCAGAGACAGGAGAGGAGGCAGAGTCTGCAGAGACAGGAGAGGAGGGATAGTCTGCAGAGACAGGAGATGAGGGATAGTCAGCAGAGACAGGAGAGGAGGGATAGTCTGCAGAGACAGGAGAGGAGGGAGAGTCTGCAGAGACACAGGAGAGGGGTGATGGTCTGCAGAGACACAGGAGAGGAGGGATAGTCTGCAGAGACAAAGGAGAGGAGGGATAGTCTGCAGAGACAAAGGAGAGGAGGGATAGTCTGCAGAGACAGGAGAGGGGTGATGGTCTGCAGAGACAGGAGAGGATGGAGATTCTGCAGAGACACAGTCACACAGGAGAGGGGTGATAGTCTGCAGAGATACAGGAGAGGAGGAAGAGACTGCAGAGACACAGGAGAGGAGGGATAGTCTGCAGAGACACAGGAGAGGAGGGAGAGTCTGCAGAGACACAGGGGAGGAGGGATAGTCTGCAGAGACAAAGGAGAGGAGGGATAGTCTGCAGAGACATAGGGGAGGAGGGATAGTCTGCAGAGATATAGGAGAGGAGGGATAGTCTGCAGAGACATAGGAGAGGAGGAATAGTCTGCAGAGACACAGTCACACAGGAGAGGAGGGATAGTCTGCAGAGACAAAATAACGGTTACTCCCGGTAGAGCTCCTAGTGTGTGGTGCCTTTAATGAACGGCGAGGCCACGCCCAGTAGACTTTCCACAAACTACAGAACGCCTCCCCTCCCCCTATCCCCACAACAAAAGGGGGTGGGGGGTGGTTTAGGAAAGTGAGGCTGGGCAGAGGTCACTGGACTCCTTGAGATATCGGACACAGGACAACGCTGGATTTCTGGCGGGATCAGCAGGTATCTTCAGGTAAACGCATTCCGTGGAATGATACGGGAGAAGTTTATTGTCGGGGGTCACATACACTTTACAAGTTTTATTTTCACCCGAAAGCGAACCTCAACCCGTCGTCACATGTATCGTTTTTTTAATCAAAGATACCCAACCCCCACCCTAGACCCCCCTCCCCCTTTACATATCAGGAGGTAACATACGAGGACCATAAGCAGTTCCATGCAGGGGACTATATACACAAGAGGGGTCTGTACAAGTGGAATGGATTTTCGAATGTTTTCATGTACCGTCACTTTGTGGCCACTAGATGGAGCCAAAGGTGCATAGGAAGTAGGTATCTAGTGCCATCTAATGGCCATGAGAAGATATTACATGGTGCTCTGGTGTGTAAGAAGGAGGAACCTTGTCCGTGTGGGTTCTCTCGTGTGTAAGAAGGAAGAACCTTGTCCGTGTGGGTTCTCTGGTGTCTAAGAAGGAAGAACCTTGTCCGTGTGGGTTCCCTGGTGTCTAAGAAGGAAGAACCTTGTCCGTGTGGGTTCCCAGGTGTCTAAGAAGGAAGAACCTTGTCCGTGTGGGTTCTCTGGTGTCTAAGAAGGAAGAATCTTGTCCGTGTGGGTTCCCAGGTGTCTAAGAAGGAAGAACCTTGTACGTGTGGGTTCTCTGGTGTCTGAGAAGGAAGAACCTTGTCCGTGTGGGTTCTCTGGTGTCTGAGAAGGAAGAACATTGTCCGTGTGGGTTCTCTGGTGTCTGAGAAGGAAGAACCTTGTCCGTGTGGGTTCTCTGGTGTCTGAGAAGGAAGAACCTTGTCCGTGTGGGTTCTCTGGTGTCTGAGAAGGAAGAACCTTGTCCGTGTGGGTTCTCTGGTGTCTGAGAAGGAAGAACCTTGTCCGTGTGGGTTCTCTGGTGTCTAAGAAGGAAGAACCTTGTCCGTGTGGGTTCTCTGGTGTCTGAGAAGGAAGAACCTTGTCCGTGTGGGTTCTCTGGTGTCTAAGAAGGAAGAACCTTGTCCGTGTGGGTTCTCTGGTGTCTGAGAAGGAAGAACCTTGTCCGTGTGGGTTCTCTGGTGTCTAAGAAGGAAGAACCTTGTCCGTGTGGGTTCTCTGGTGTCTAAGAAGGAAGAACCTTGTCCGTGTGGGTTCTCTGGTGTCTAAGAAGGAAGAACCTTGTCCGTGTGGGTTCTCTGGTGTCTAAGAAGGAAGAACCTTGTCCGTGTGGGTTCTCTGGTGTCTAAGAAGGAAGAACCTTGTCCGTGTGGGTTCTCTGGTGTCTAAGAAGGAAGAACCTTGTCCGTGTGGGTTCTCTGGTGTCTAAGAAGGAAGAACCTTGTCCGTGTGGGTTCTCTGGTGTCTAAGAAGGAAGAACCTTGTCCGTGTGGGTTCTCTGGTGTCTAAGAAGGAAGAACCTTGTCCGTGTGGGTTCTCTGGTGTCTAAGAAGGAAGAACCTTGTCCGTGTGGGTTCTCTGGTGTCTAAGAAGGAAGAACCTTGTCCGTGTGGGTTCTCTGGTGTCTAAGAAGGAAGAACCTTGTCCGTGTGGGTTCTCTGGTGTCTAAGAAGGAAGAACCTTGTCCGTGTGGGTTCTCTGGTGTCTAAGAAGGAAGAACCTTGTCCGTGTGGGTTCTCTGGTGTCTAAGAAGGAAGAACCTTGTCCGTGTGGGTTCTCTGGTGTCTAAGAAGGAAGAACCTTGTCCGTGTGGGTTCTCTGGTGTCTAAGAAGGAAGAACCTTGTCCGTGTGGGTTCTCTGGTGTCTAAGAAGGAAGAACCTTGTCCGTGTGGGTTCTCTGGTGTCTAAGAAGGAAGAACCTTGTCCGTGTGGGTTCTCTGGTGTCTAAGAAGGAAGAACCTTGTCCGTGTGGGTTCTCTGGTGTCTAAGAAGGAAGAACCTTGTCCGTGTGGGTTCTCTGGTGTCTAAGAAGGAAGAACCTTGTCCGTGTGGGTTCTCTGGTGTCTAAGAAGGAAGAACCTTGTCCGTGTGGGTTCTCTGGTGTCTAAGAAGGAAGAACCTTGTCCGTGTGGGTTCTCTGGTGTCTAAGAAGGAAGAACCTTGTCCGTGTGGGTTCTCTGGTGTCTAAGAAGGAAGAACCTTGTCCGTGTGGGTTCTCTGGTGTCTAAGAAGGAAGAACCTTGTCCGTGTGGGTTCTCTGGTGTCTAAGAAGGAAGAACCTTGTCCGTGTGGGTTCTCAGGTGTCTAAGAAGGAAGAACCTTGTCCGTGTGGGTTCTCTGGTGTCTAAGAAGGAAGAACCTTGTCCGTGTGGGTTCTCAGGTGTCTAAGAAGGAAAAACATTGAAGATCTTGTCCTTGTGGGGTTTCTGGCATCTAAGAAGGAAGAACCTTGTCAACATGGGTTTTCTGGTGCCTTAGAAGGTCTCCTTTCAGAGTGAAACTTTTTCCACACTTTGAACAGGAATGCGGCCGCACTCCACTGTGAAATTTCAGGTGCCTCATAAGACTCTCTTTCCAGGTAAAACCTTTCCCGCACTCTGAACACGAAAAAGCACGCACACCCGTGTGACTACTCTGATGGTTAATAAGGTATCTCTTCTCATTAAAGCTCTTCCCGCACTCGGAGCACGTGAACGGAAGCTCACCCGTGTGAATTCTCTGGTGCGTTCGAAGGTGACCTTTCTGACTGTAACGTTTCCCGCACTCTGAACAGGCAAACGGCTTCTCCACAGTGTGGACTTTGAAATGGCTAGCGGGGCTTTCTTTCTGCGAGGACGATTTTTCATGTTCGGAGGGTTCCTTGGAGGAGTGCACTTCCTGAGGTCCAACAAGGTCCGACTTCTTTGCAAGTACTTCCGCGCTCTCAGAGCGTGGTGAGGTCTTCTGGGCTGTGTCGTCATTTTGATGCCCTTGAAAATCTGATTTTGCTTTTAGGGAATTGCCACATTCGGAATTTGTTGGCTGTTCTCCGGTGAGGGTTCGTTGGTGCATGATGAGCATACTTCTGAGTGGAAACGTTTTCCCGCACGTCCGACATGTATACGTTTTTTTGCCCATGTGGGTGCGCTGGTGTTTGTTAAGCGTGTCTTTCCAGGAAAAACATTTCCCACACTCTAGACAGTAAAAAGGTCTCTCGCCTGTGTGAATCCTGAGATGTTTGGTCAGGTGACCACTCTGCATGAAAGACTGACCGCACTCCGTACACACATAAGGCCGTTCTCCCGTGTGGAATCTCAGGTGGCTGGCAAGATCGCTTTTGCCCACAAAAGATTTCTCACACTCCGGGCAGGGATAGGGGCGCACTCCAGTGTGTTGACTTAAATGCCTAACAAGGCCAGACTTCGATATAAAACGCCTCCCGCATTCTGAACACAGGTAGGGTCGCACGCCGCTGTGAATTTTGTTGTGGAAGACCAGATGCCCTTTGGTCTTAAAACACTTCCCGCACTCAGAACAGGAAAATGGCCGCTCTGCCGTGTTCATCCTCTGATATGCAGAAAGGGTCGATGGTGACGTCAAACATTTTCTGTCATTAGAAGGAGCAGATTTGGCCCCGGCTTTGGGTTTGACGGTATTAGATTCGTCAGGAGAAGATTCCTCGGGATTCAAAGGATCCATCGTGTCATAGACTGAAGAGGACGGAAGATGTTCTTCTGAGCTATTCCACGCGTCATCCCCTGAAAAAAAAATTTCCATCAATAACTACGGCACCATGAGGCATGGAAAGGGATGGAGATGGACCTTCATATGGTGTACAGTATCTCCTCCTCATTTGTTGGTCACATGACGTTATACTGAGGGACGGAGATGGACCTTCATATGGTGTACAGTATCTCCTCCTCATTTGTTGGTCACATGACGTTATACTGAGGGACGGAGATGGACCTTCATATGGTGTACAGTATCTCCTCCTCATTTGTTGGTCACATGACGTTATAACGGATCATGTCCCAGAATCCCCGGCACCGCTCACCTCTCCCGTCAGCAGCTCCATCATCTTCTTGGTGGCTTCTAGGATCTTCTGCATGTTGTTTCTCTGGAACTTGAGGAGGTTGGGCACTGTTATGGTCAGATGGTCACCAGACTTCACCGAATGAAAATTCTGTATTGAAGAGGGAAAAGGTAAACCCAAGTGGTCCTCCCAGAATCCTCCTCACCCCTCCGGTCCGTGTCTTATGAATAGAGATAAGAGTGATGTCATGTGACCTCCCAGAATCCTCCTCACCCCTCCGGTCAGGTCTGTGTTTTATGAATAGAGATCAGAGTGATGTCATGTGACCTCCCAGAATCCTCCTCACCTCTCCAGCCAGCAGGTAGATGATCTCCAGGGTGAGGTCCAATATCCTCTCGGCCATGCCAATCCGGTTCCCGTCCATCCTCCCCGAGCTGGTGATGGGATCCTAACAGGATGTTCCTCCCTGTAGATGGAGCATAATTGAAGAATTATCTGGACTTTTCAGTGATGTGTACGGTCTGCAGAGCGTTCCGCCGTAGTTCTGACATCTCAGAACACTTCCGATGCACTGAATAGAGAGCCCGGAGGGTCTCGGCGCCGGACACTTGTGGTCTCTTTGTGTACAGAGGTGATCGGTGAATATTGTATTCACATATCACTGCACTATATATGTGTGTAGTAGCATCTGATGGAGATAGAAGACGTCACAGTGACTAGAGGGGACCAAAGCAAATCTATTGGGGGGAGGAGGTTACCGGGTGTAGATATAAAATAATATCTCATTACCTCCTCTGCTGCCAGTTCCACCAATGTCCCCTCTCTACTTCCTCCCGGCTCACCTCTAACCCGGAACTTCCTTTTTATACCCGTCATCGCATCCAGCTTGTGAAAATGATGGAGATCGCCATCTTGTGGCCACTATGCTAGCTGGTGACCTCCTGAAAACTGCTGGCTGATGTTGGAAACAGCCACTTGAGTGAAGCTGATCCTGGTCCTCCTGAGTTGGACTTGTTGAGTTTGGTTCCTGAAGGAAAATGTCCCACCAGAGAACATGAAAGGCAAAGAATTGAGGGAACATCTGAACCTGACCCCCGTTGGTCGTTCCCCTTCTCGGCTTCCAAGGAACGCTCTACTTTTATTTATTAGAAGACGTATACCTAGATTGGTCCCATTGTACACCAAAAAACCTTGGAGAGGGACCACGTGGTCATGAACAACGTTGGCCATTGTTGTTAGAGACGGTCAAGTCGTATTCAGGGGCCCCAACGAGGGTCGAGGAAACGGCCAACGCGTTGTTTCTCAATGACAATTTTTCCAATTTTGGTTATAAAATTTATCAAAACATTTACTCAGACGGGTCCCGGTTTTCCGGACAACAATCTATTGTCCTTCAGGAGGGCCATGTAGTCTTCAATAATATCATGGAACATTGTGACGTTTAGAGCTGATCAGTTATTAAGACCCTTCATGAAGAAAGAGGTCACCACACCTGGGCACTACCACCGGCCCGAAACACCAAAGCAGAGAGGACGGATCCATGGATTCCAGTGTTGTGTGCCAAATTCTGACCCACCTTCTGGGGACATCTCACAAAAGAACCAGCTGGGAATTTTATCATCCAGACACCTGGTGTAGGTGATGGGGTTGACCATTGAGGTAGCCTCATTTTCCTGTTCTTAAGGAAGGGAGAGGTCTACTATTGGTCTTGGGCTACCGTTAAAACCCAGTCTAAATTGTGTGTCACAGGAGAGGACACAGATGTAGTCTTCTGCTGAGGTAGCCTGACCTTCTCAATGCTCCCGTGTTGGGTGCTCAGAGATGACCTTCTGTTCAAAGTGGTTATTAGGGCCACTCTAGACTGTGAGCTGGGACCAGTCCAACCATTCTTCTCTGACCTTTCCCATGGATCTGAACAGGGCTCCCATCAGAACTCCTTACGGCCTACCCGAGAAACCCGCCCAGGTTTTGCCCCATTGATCTGAACAGGGCCACCATTAGAACTCCTTATGGTCTACCCGAGAAACCCGCCCAGGTTTTGCCCCATTGATCTGAACAGGGCCACCATTAGAACCCCTTACGGCCCACCTGAGAAACCCGCCCAGGTTTTGCCCCATGGATCTGAACAGGGCTCCCATCAGAACTCCTTACGGCCTACCCGAGAAACCCACCCAGGTTTTGCCCCATGGATCTGAACAGGGCCACCATTAGAACCCCTTACGGTCTACCTGAGAAACCCACCCAGGTTTTGCCCCATGGATCTGAACAGGGCCACCATTAGAACCCCTTACGGCCTACCTGAGAAACCCACCCAGGTTTTGCCCCGTGGATCTGAACACCACCATTAGAACCCCTTACGGAACAGGGCCACCATTAGCACACCTTACGGCCTGAGAAACCTGCCCAGGTTTTGCCCTGTGGATCTGAACAGGGCCAACTTTAGAACCCCTTACGGCCTACCTGAGAAACCCGCCCTTGTTTTGGCCCATGGATCTGAACAAGGCCTCCTGTAGACCACCATGTGACCCTTTACAGCCCACTCAGGTTAATCCCTCTCTATATCTTGTTGCAGGGCCTTTACTTCTGGAAAGTCTTTATGTGTGGGATTAAAAAAAAGGGTATATTCAGTGACCAGACCCCCCCGATACCCCCATGAGAGGTAACACCTCCATGTAATACGGGCATGAGGAGAGGCAGATCGCTAAAATTATGATCGGAGGCCTTCACCCCGCTCAGTGCCCTCCAAACGCAAGGAGAACCTGCCCTAGGTGGTACCTTCAGACCGCTCTGCTGGGAAATGACTTGGATTTTTGGTCATAAGCCCCCCCGCCTCGTGTTTCCTGATGCCCATCAGCTGGTCCCTGTGCGATTCATCACTCAAACGGACCTTCCTCCTGAGACGTCGTTCTTCTAGATCTACCCCAAGGGGTAACCGTTCCTGGTCAGCTGGTCCACCTTTCATTCGTGGTTCATCCCCCCCTTGTGTAGGCCGGGTCAGTGTTTATTCCTGGATTCCATTGGCAATTATGAGGCCAGAGGGACATTTTATTTTTGTAAATATTTTATTCCAAAAAGATTTATTATTTTTGAGGAGCGAAAAGTAGAAATCAGAAGAATCCAACGCTTGGCATCTATGAAGGCGACTTCCATAAGGAACGTGAAACTCCCCCGTCCCTTGTGAGAGGTAAAATATAGACCAGCTTACCAAGGGGGAGGCAGCAGAGGCACGGGAGGGATAGTCTGCAGAGACACAGGAGAGGAGGGATTGTCTGCAGAGACAGAAGAGAGGAGGGATAGTCTGCAGAGACAGAAGAGAGGAGGGATAGTCTGCAGAGACACAGGAGAGGAGGGATAGTCTGCAGAGACACAGGAGAGGAGGGGGAGTCTGCAGAGACACAGGAGAGGAGGGATAGTCTGCAGAGACAGGAGAGAGGAGGGATAGTCTGCAGGGACACAGGAGAGGAGGGATAGTCTGCAGAGACACAGGAGAGGAGGGATAGTCTGCAGAGACAGGAGAGAGGAGGGATAGTCTGCAGGGACACAGGAGAGGCGGGCTAGTCTGCAGAAACACAGGAGAGGAGGGATAGTCTGCAGGGACACAGGAGAGGAGGGATAGTCTGCAGAGACACAGGAGAGGAGGGATAGTCTGCAGAGACACAAGAGAGGAGGGATAGTCTGCAGAGACAGAAGAGAGGAGGGATAGTCTGCAGGGACACAGAAGAGGAGGGATAGTCTGCAGGGACACAGGAGAGGAGGGATAGTCTGCAGAGACACAGGAGAGGAGGGATAGTCTGCAGAGACAGGAGAGAGGAGGGATAGTCTGCAGGGACACAGGAGAGGAGGGATAGTCTGCAGAAACACAGGAGAGGAGGGATAGTCTGCAGGGACACAGGAGAGGAGGGATAGTCTGCAGAGACACAGGAGAGGAGGGATAGTCTGCAGAGACACAAAAGAGGAGGGAGAGTCTGCAGAGACCCAGTAGTAATTGCCTTCATGTCTCTGCCTCTGGCTGCAATGCCTCATGGGACTGGGAGTCTCACCACAGCTGGTTGGCTGGAGTTTGCCTTCCCCCGCCACTAGTCTGCTGACATCACATCCAAGATGGCGGCACCCGGCAGCAGCACTCTCTGGACTTTCAGATGCCTACACAAGAGAAGAACCCTTCAGGTAGGAGGGGGACACACAGCACAGGTCAGGTGACTGCTGCTCTCTCCTATCAGAGTCGGGTTGGATATGAACTTTGCGCTTCAACTATGTGACTCTGGCAGAGATTGTGATCCCGATGCTGAAGATGGAGATCAGATTTTGCGGTGAAGGAGCTCTCGCTGTGTAAGCGGGAAAGAGGAAAACTCCCCGTATGGATTTTCTGATGTTTATGGAGGTGTCCTTTCTGGTTAAAACCTTTTCCGCACTCGGAACAAGAAAAGGGACGCACGCCCGTGTGAAGCCTCTCGTGCCTCATAAGGCTTGCGTTCCTGGTAAAGCTTTTCCCGCACTCGGAACAGGAAAAAGGGAGCGCGCCCGTGTGCCTTCTCTGGTGTGCAAGAAGGTGCCCTTTCTGACTGAAACCTATCCCGCAGTGTGAGCATGAATACGGATGTACTCTGGCGTGAACTTTCATATGCCTTGTGAGGTTCTCTTTCCGTGAAAAACATTTCCCGCACTCCGAACATAAAATAGGGCGCTGTCCCTCGTGGCTTTTCAGGTGTCTTAGGAGGTGTCTGTTCTCGACAAAGCTTTTCCCGCACTCTGAACATAAGAAAGGGTGTTCCCGAGTGTGACTTCTGTGGTGTTGAAGGAAATCTTCTTTCTGAGTGAAACCTTTCCCACCCTCTGGGCAGGAAATTGGCTTCTCGCCGGTGTGAAGCTTCATGTGGACATGGAGGCTTCCATTTTGGGGGAAACTTGCACCGCACTCCAGACACAGAAAGGGCTTTTCACTGGTGTGAATTCTCTGGTGTATAACAAGGTTTGATTTCTTTTTGAAGGATTTATCACACTCGGAACATGAAAAGAGTTTCTTACGGGAATGAAGTATCCGGTGTTCAGCCAACTGTGATAAATCGGTGAAGGACATCCCACACTCTGAACAAAGAAAGATCCCCTCTGCCGCGTGGACAGTGTCATGTGCATGGAGCTCCGATTTCGTTTTGAAACATTTCCCACACACTGCACATGACTTTGACCTCTTGCCCACGTGACACTTCAAATGTCGATCAAGACACAACTTTTTTCTAAAGCATTTCCCGCACTCTTCGCAGGCAAACGGTCGCTCGCCCGTGTGGCTCCGCTGGTGGACGATGAGGTCAGGTTTACGCGTATAACCTTTTCCGCACTCTCCACAAAGGTATGGCATTTTATCCAGGTGTGTCCTCTGGTGTATCGTGAGGGTGTCTCTCCGAGCAAATCTTTTTCCGCACTCTGAACACGAGAAGGGTGTCTCGCCTGTGTGAAGCCTGAGATGTCTCATCAGATGAGCTTTCTCTATAAAGCTCTGCCCGCACTCCGAACACACATAAGGTCTCAGGCCTGTGTGATACCTCCTATGGGTGACCAGGTCCCATTTGTTTTTGAAAGATTTGCCGCACTCCAAACATGAAAAAGGCCGCTCTCCAGAGTGGGAACTTTGATGCCTGAGAAGATGCGATTTTGAGCTAAAGCCTTTCCCGCACTCCGAACACGAATAGGGTCGGTACCCGGTGTGATGTCTTTGGTGACGCGCCAGATCCGATTTCCACACGAAACCTTTCCCGCACTCTGAACAAAAAAACGGATGGTTCCTGGCACGCGACCTTTGACGCACAGAGAGAGTAGACCTAAGATCTGACGAATGTTCTATCGCAAGAAACGTCTCATCTGTTCCGGTATCACAAAAAGATTCTACGGGACTGGACAGATCTGGGGGATGGATAGGCGCCACAGTGGCGGCTGCTTTATCAGACGGTTCCTCGGGGTTAGAGGGGACGAATTCTTCCACCTGGTGAAGGCCGTGAGGAACGGGTTTGACTTGTGTAACACTGATGTCTTCTTCTTTATATTCCAGGAGACGACTTTCCGAGACGGTCAGAAGATCCGGGACATCTGCGTGCGGAAAATGTTCATGTTAGAAACAAGTTCAGAAGTCATGAAAGTCATCATTCAGCTGAGGAACATCCCGGAGAACGTAACATTCTACTAAGGAACGGACCTTTCATAGGGTGAGGGATCTTCTGATGTTCCTGGGTGGAGTCCCGGGAATACAGGGGGCGGGGACATCTCTCTGGTGGGTTCCTCTTACTGGATCCATCTGTAGGAGACACACACACTGACTGAATACATTGTTTCTATGTGTGTATCAGATGATGGGGGATGTAGGCGGAGCCTCCGTACTGCTCTCTCCTCTTACCCGGTGATGTGAGGGGCGGGGCATTCTCCATCACCACGTCCTTGTAGAGATCCCGGTGTCCTTCTAGATACTCCCACTCCTCCATGGAGAGATAGACAGAGACATCCTGACACCTTATAGGAACCTGACACACACAATGATACCGTCACCACCCAGACACGCCCCTTGTCTGTTCCTGGATCATGTCCCAGAATCCCCGGCACCGCTCACCTCTCCCGTCACCACCCAGACACGCCCCTTGTCTGTTCCTGGATCATGTCCCAGAATTCCCGGCACCACTCACCTCTCCCGTCACCACCCAGACACACCCCTTGTCTGTTCCTGGATCATGTCCCAGAATCCCCGGCACCGCTCACCTCTCCCGTCACCACCCAGACACACCCCTTGTCTGTTCCTGGATCATGTCCCAGAATCCCCGGCACCGCTCACCTCTCCCGTCACCACCCAGACACGCCCCTTGTCTGTTCCTGGATCATGTCCCAGAATCCCCGGCACCGCTCACCTCTCCCGTCACCACCCAGACACACCCCTTGTCTGTTCCTGGATCATGTCCCAGAATCCCCGGCACCGCTCACCTCTCCCGTCAGCAGCTCCACCATCTTCTTGGTGGCTTCTAGAATCTTCTCCATGTTGGGTCTCTCGGGTTTTAGGGAGTCACATGGGGGCGCTGTGATGGTCACATGATCACCAGACTTCAGAAGAGGAAAACTCTGGATGGAGGAACCAATAGGAACATCATGTTAGTATCCCAGAATCCTCCTCACCCCTCTGGTCAGGTCATGTGACCTCCCAGAATCCTCCTCACCCCTCCGGTCAGCAGGTAGATGATCTCCAGGGTGAGGTTTAGTATCCTCTCCGTCATGTGACTCCGGACCTCCTCCATCTTCATGGACATGGTCATGTGATCTTTTCGGGAGGAACGCAGCGTGCCTTCATGTAAAGTTGGGTAAATGGTTTAATATTTAGACCGGACCTGCGGACAGATGACGGGATAAGACTCTATATCGGCGTTTTCATGTTGATCATCATCTGCCGGAGATAAAAGACGTCACGGTGACTATGGAGGACGGACATGACGGGGGGAGGGGTTACTGGGTGTACATATAACATAATATCTTATTACCTCCTCTGCTGCCAGTTCCAGCAATGTCTCCTCTCTAATTCCTCCCAAATCACCTCACAGCTAGAACTTCCTGTTTATAGGTGACATCACTTCCTGTCTGTAGGGAGACAGGACTTCCTGTGTGAATTCCGCTGACGATAACTGAGATCGCCACCTTGTGGAGAATATGAGGAGCGACTCTGCGTTATATTTCAGCCGCATTGATGATTTCTCTTCTATTGTGTTATTTCTATCTAATGACCTGAAATGTTCTCCTCCCAGACCTGGTCATGTGACACATTCACACTCCATGCTTGTCCACATGGACAGCTTCCACCCTGCCTAGGGAGGAGAGACAGCCAGGAGAGAGAGAGGAGAGACAGCCAGGAGAGACAGCCAGGAGAGAGAGAGGAGAGACAGCGGAGAGACAGCAGGGAGAGAGAGGAGAGACAGCCAGGAGAGAGGAGAGACAGCCAGGAGAGAGAGAGGAGAGACAGCCAGGAGAGAGAGGAGAGAGACAGACAGGAGAGACAGCCGGTAGAGAGAGAGGCGAGACAGCCAGGAGAGAGAGAGGAGAGACAACCGGGAGAGAGAGAGGAGAGACAACCGGGAGAGAGAGGAGAGACAGCCAGGAGAGAGAGGAGAGACAGCCAGGAGAGAGAGAGGAGAGACAGCCGGGAGAACCCCGGCACCGCTCACCTCTCCCGTCACCACCCAGACACACCCCTTGTCTGTTCCTGGATCATGTCCCAGAATCCCCGGCACCGCTCACCTCTCCCGTCACCACCCAGACACACCCCTTGTCTGTTCCTGGATCATGTCCCAGAATCCCCGGCACCGCTCACCTCTCCCGTCAGCAGCTCCACCATCTTCTTGGTGGCTTCTAGAATCTTCTCCATGTTGGGTCTCTCGGGTTTTAGGGAGTCACATGGGGGCGCTGTGATGGTCACATGATCACCAGACTTCAGAAGAGGAAAACTCTGGATGGAGGAACCAATAGGAACATCATGTTAGTATCCCAGAATCCTCCTCACCCCTCTGGTCAGGTCATGTGACCTCCCAGAATCCTCCTCACCCCTCCGGTCAGCAGGTAGATGATCTCCAGGGTGAGGTTTAGTATCCTCTCCGTCATGTGACTCCGGACCTCCTCCATCTTCATGGACATGGTCATGTGATCTTTTCGGGAGGAACGCAGCGTGCCTTCATGTAAAGTTGGGTAAATGGTTTAATATTTAGACCGGACCTGCGGACAGATGACGGGAGAAGACTCTATATCGGCGTTTTCATGTTGATCATCATCTGCTGGAGATAAAAGACGTCACGGTGACTATGGAGGACGGACATGACGGGGGGAGGGGTTACTGGGTGTACATATAACATAATATCTTATTACCTCCTCTGCTGCCAGTTCCAGCAATGTCTCCTCTCTAATTCCTCCCAAATCACCTCACAGCTAGAACTTCCTGTTTATAGGTGACATCACTTCCTGTCTGTAGGGAGACAGGACTTCCTGTGTGAATTCCGCTGACGATAACTGAGATCGCCACCTTGTGGAGAATATGAGGAGCGACTCTGCGTTATATTTCAGCCGCATTGATGATTTCTCTTCTATTGTGTTATTTCTATCTAATGACCTGAAATGTTCTCCTCCCAGACCTGGTCATGTGACACATTCACACTCCATGCTTGTCCACATGGACAGCTTCCACCCTGCCTAGGGAGGAGAGACAGCCAGGAGAGAGAGAGGAGAGACAGCCAGGAGAGACAGCCAGGAGAGAGAGAGGAGAGACAGCGGAGAGACAGCAGGGAGAGAGAGGAGAGACAGCCAGGAGAGAGAGGAGAGAGACAGACAGGAGAGACAGCCGGTAGAGAGAGAGGCGAGACAGCCAGGAGAGAGAGAGGAGAGACAACCGGGAGAGAGAGAGGAGAGACAACCGGGAGAGAGAGGAGAGACAGCCAGGAGAGAGAGGAGAGACAGCCAGGAGAGAGAGAGGAGAGACAGCCGGGAGAAAGGAGAGAGAGAGGGGGGAGACAGCCAGGAGAGAGAGGAGAGACAGCCAGGAGAGAGAGACAGCCAGGAAAGAGAGAGGAGAGACAGCCGGGAGAGAGAGAGGAGAGAAAGCCAGGAGAGACAGCCGGGAGAGAGAGAGGAGAGACAGCCAGGAGAGAGAGGAGAGACAGCCAGGAGAGAGAGAGGAGAGACAGCCAGGAGAGAGAGAGACAGCCGGGAGTGACAGCCAGGAGAGAGAGGAGAGACAGCCGGGAGAGAGAGAAAAACGAGCCAGGGGAGAGAGAGGATAGACAGCCAGGAGAGAGAGAGAGGAGAAACAGCCAGGAGAGAGGAGAGACAGCCAGGAGAGAGAGCGGAGAGACAGCCAGGAGAGCGAGGAGAACTCCTCTTCCCAAGAGAGAGAGCCCTTTCACGGACCCCCTGGGGCACAAGGCTCCTGACAGGGGCAGGGCATTCATGTCCACCTAGCTGAAGCCAGGCAAACCCATTCCTCTGCCTCAGCCAAAGCTGACCCCTGAGTACTAGGTTTTGGGGAATCTCCCGTAGACACACTGCGGGCTCCCTGCCTTCCCAGCCCGCGAGCTCATTAATTTTCGGTGTACACATAGTCCCTGGGTTTCCTGCGGGTGCACACCCCCCTGTTGCTATTGGGTGGGACGCGGCTGTTGGATCACGAGGGCGATCGCCTATCTTGCCGTCCTTCTGGGATAGGTTATGGATAGGTGGGCGAAGCAAGGGCGGGCGTTCCCGAGGCACCCAATACTTTACGGCTGGTTGTGGCCGGGGGCCGAAGCCAGATACGGTAGGTCTTTTGGTGGTGCAGAAGAAGATTATTGGTATATGGCGAGTTTGTGAACGTCAAGCTGCACTGGGGATGCCTGAAGATGCGTGTGCCAGGAGGAGGGAACTCAGTCCCTGCAGGACCATTAGCACTGGGGCTGGGATGTTAGGCAGGACCTGGAGGAGCACCTGACGGGACACTTCGAGGAGGACTCCAGGCAGGCACATCATCTCCCGTTCCAAGGTGGAGAATCTGGAGAACGGTGAGAAATGTAACTCTCTCTTTTTCAGGAACCTCCTTTCAGGGCCTCTGTCTGAACTGCACAACGTGAGTGGAACTCTCAGGAAGGGGAAGGAGGCCACGATGGAAGTGGTCAGCAACCTCTTCTCCCTGAAGGAAAAAGAGGAGGAGCCGCATTCTGCCGTCAGATCCTATAGACGGTCTCACAGTGGACCTCTATGTAGCGCTGTGGGACCTCGTTGATGGTGGAGGGCGGAATTGCCAACGTGACAAAGTTCCATGCGGACCAGAGTTCCGCCCACGTGCTTATTCACACGTTTGGCCGAGCTTCAGAGACAGAGGTCACCTCCGGGAAGTTGGAAGTTGCAAACTGGTACCGGCCTTCCTCCGTGCCCGTCCACTCCAACATCAGAGCGGGTTCCATCAACAACTTGGGCGTCTGGTTTGGAGCTGAGGGCGCGGCCTAGAAGTGTTGGAAGGAGAGGCTGTCTAAGATGAACCAGATGTCTGGCCCCTGGCAGCTCACCGTTGAAGAGAAAACACTGGTACTCCTCCGCAGCGAGAGTCTCTATGGTGCAAGTTCCTTGCCCTGGTCTGGACTCAAAGACTTGGTGCCAGCGATGACTCGTTTTGGGGTGCTGTGTTGACGGTTTTCTGGAGAGGAAATTGATGGCGCTTGGCAGGTGGTGGTGCTTCAAGGATGCTTTGTGGTGTGCCAGGAACCACCTCACCTCCAGAGGGAGCGGATGTCCATGGAGGACTGTCACTGGCTGGTTCACATTCTGCTCCGAGACTCTCACATTATGGGCTATCAAGAGGACGTCTGAGAAGATTTCCCTGGAGTCACGAGAGGAACCCTATATGAAGCGGCATTTTCCAGTTGGATTTCAACTTAGGGAGACTATATCTTGCATTTGCATAGATTTAGGGGAGAAATTTGCATATTTTTCAGTAATTACCCCACCCAAAACCCCTGTTTGTACTGAAAGAGTCCCGATTAAGATCGTTGGGAAAAGGGGGAGCAATTTTGGGACTCACCCACCTCCCCCCTCCTACCACCCTAGGGGCGCGATTTCGGGGTTCAATTTCCACTTAAGGAGAAACTTTACTAATTTGCATATTAGCCTACTATGCTAATGAGAAAAAGAGTGTCTTTTTGGGGATAGCACTTCAACGTAGGGAGAACCTTTTGTAATTTGCAATTCATTATAATATATGTTAATGAGGGAAAGTATTTTCTGCTCTCTCCATAAAGCCATGACGGCTCCTTTAGTCCTGCCCTGAACAGAGACGGCGCCCTCTTTTGGTGCAGGCCATAAAAGGAGGAACCCCCCACCACACACACTTTACAACCTGACTGGACGTTTTCTGTACATTCTGAGGGCCCGTCTCCCTGTCCATCATTTACAGGGCTCAGAAAGACAATATGATGGTGAGATCCTGATCTCTGCCCACTTTCCAGGTGGTTGCGCCCGAGCCAGGCCCATTTTTTCACCCAATGATCTCACCTCTTCATTTCATGGCCACATTACAGTTTGATCCCGGTCGAACCCCCACATCTAAATTTATGCGGACCACCCAGTCGCCGCCCTGATCCTGTCTGCCCACGATCAACCATCTGACTGCCCGCAATCAATTCCTCAAAATAAAGTTGATCTCTTGATTTCATGGTCACGTTACAGTTTGATCCCGCTCGAACCCCCACATCTAAATATATGGGGACCACCCAGTCACCGCCCTGGTTCTGTCTGCCCACGATCAACAATCTGACTGCCCGCCATCAATTCCTCAAAATAAAGTTCCTCGTGTGATCCCAGGACACGGCTCAAGATAGAGGATCAGCAGATCAGAGGGTCACGGTGCGGGACCGTCCAGGCAAATCTTTGATCACACAAGATTCCACCTATGTATGAAATAATTTTAAGAACATTAAAAAAAAGGTTTATAACACAAAAGGTATACAGATAGATACGTACAATGTTTTATTTCATGTAAGACATTTCCCACACCCCCCAGGCAGGAAAATGGTATCCCAGTTTCCCATGGATACAGATGTGAAAAACGCTTCCATCACTAAGGAGAGGGCTTCTTGCAAATGTGAATCCTCCTTTGTCCTCCTTCTCCTCCTCTTTATGAACAATTTCCCACACTCTGAATGTGAAAGGATTCTACTGTATTTTTAAGGCTCTCCTGCAATCTGAACAGGAGGAAGAACTCTCTTGTAAGTCGAGCTTCCAGTGCCAGGCAAATAACATTTCCAACTGAAGCTTTTTCTACATTCTGGACAAAAAAAAAATGTCAGCTGGCCCGTGTGGGTGTGCTGGTATTTCATAAGTAACCCTCTTGGTGTGGAACTTTTCCCGCACACTCTACATGTACAGTGTGACAAATCCGTGAAAGTTACCTGAGTGCAACAACAGCATGTTTCAGTGGAAAAGCTTTTTCATGTACGCTGTTTAGTCCATGTGCCTCTTCTGGTGGGCGGTGAGATTATTTTTCCTAGTATAACACTTCCCGCACTTTAAACACAAAAAAGTTTCACCCGTGTGAGCTCTAAGATGGTTCGTCAGGTGAGTTTTCCGTTTAAAACATTGACCGCACTCTGAGCAGCAATAAGGCCTCTCGTCTCTGTGACTCGTCTGATGCATGGCAAGGTCAACTTTGTCTCTGAAGACTTTCCCGCACTCCGAGCACGAACAGAGACTCACGCCGCTGTGCCGCCTTTCGTGTTTCATCAGTCCAAATCTCCACGTAAAAGATTTTCCGCACTGCAAGCACAAATAGGGGCGCACTCCAGTGTGCTGTTGTTGATGCCTATTGAGTTTTGATTTGGTAGTGAAACATTTCCCACACTGCAAGCATGGAAAGGGACGTTCCACATGGTGCTGTACTTTCTGGTCTTCAGCAAGACGTGACTTCATCCTGAAACATTTTTTGCATTGACAACTTCTACATTCAACATCGTGAGGTTCCTCGGGATCGGAGAGATCTGATAATAAATCCACAACTGGAGAAAACGTTAGGTCAATAATGGGCGATTTTTCGGGATGAGAAGCATCCGTCGGTCTATTGTAAAGTCGTTGATGAAAATTCTGTGGAACGGGACTTTCTTCTGGGGAATATCGTGCAGTGCCAATGTCTTCTGTCCTATTACCTGAGGGGAGAATTAGATGTTCCTCAGACGTGTCCTGAACATCGCGTCCATCTGAAAGGAAAAAAGAATGTTCATGAAGTCAAGTCTACTCGTCATTTGAAAAGTAGATCTCCGGAGGAAAAATTGTGGGCGCCCCTGGTGTACAGTATCTCCTCCTCATTTGTTGGTCACATGACGTTATATTGAGGAATGGAGATGGACCTTCCATATGGTGTACAGTATCTCCTCCTCATTTGTTGGTCACATGACGTTATATTGAGGAATGGAGATGGACCTTCATAT